CGGGCGGCGGCGGCGGGGCCGGCTGCGGGGGGGCGGCCGGCTGCGCGGGGGCGCCGCCCCCCCCACCTCCCCCGTCCTCGCCCGCCGTGGGGGCGGGGGGCTCCCCCAAACCCAGGAGGCAGAGCTGATCGAGAGCCAGCTGAAGGGCGCGCTCGTCTTCCAGCAACCCTCGGTCCTTAGCGCTTCCCCCGAAACATCCTAGTTCTCCAAAGCCCCCATTTCTTTCCATTATTCCAGATACCACTAGACTAGGCATGGCGAAACAAAAGCTGGGGGAGAGAGGGAGAGAGGTGGTGGAAGGGAAAAGAGGAGCGAGGAGGGGAGGGGAGAGGAGGGGGGCGTGTGGGGAGGGGGGAACAAAGAACTGGGGAGGGGGGAAGAAAGCGAGATAGAAAGATAGACCCTCCCCCTAAGCCCCCCTCCCCAAACACCCTGTAACCCGACTCCCCTCGCCCCAGCCCCCGGGGTGGGGGTGGGGGGAAAGAGAAGCAAAACCGAGGAAGCAGCTCTCCTTTCCTCTCCGGGGGTGACGGGGGGCGGGGGGCTGCGGGATCTCTGCCCCCACCCCTCCCGCCTCCGACCCGGGCGGCTCTAGACCCCGCCGTCCAGACGCCCCTCTCGGGCTCCCGCACCAAGCCCCGGTCCGGGAGCGGCGCCCAGTGGCCCCCAGGCGAGCCCAGCCCCTTCCAGCGCTCAAACTCTTTTGTTTTAAATGAACTGGATGGAGCAGCATGGAACTGCGGGGGGGCCGCGGGGGCGCCCGGGGCATGCCGGGAGTTGTAGTTTCCCGCCCTCGGGGGCGCGGGCTCCGGCTGCCAGCCCCGCGGAGGATGGGGACGTGCCTTCGGTCCCTAGCCCCGCTCGGAGGCGAAGCGGGGGGCGGGGTGGAAGGCGAGGTCCCTAATTTCTCCGAGGGGCGGGCGCGGGGGACGGAAACGGAGCGGGTTGGAAAAGGCTAGCGGAGCGCCCCCTCCCCAGACGGGGTCCCCCCCACCGCCACCCCTACCCCCACCCCCGCCCCCGCCCCCGCCCGGCCGGCCCGGGTCCCCCCTTCTTATGGTAATGAGGGGGCGAGGGGCGGGAGCCGCCCGGCCGGGTCGCCGCGGCCCCCTCCCCGGCCTCGCCCCCTCCCCGCGCGCGGCCTCCCCGCCCCTCCCTCCCCCGGAGTCGTCCCGGCTGCGGGCCGCGGGGACAGCCTCTCCGCAGAGCAGACAAAGCCCGCAGCGCGATGCGGGCGCCGCCGGGCCGTGCGCGCGGTGGAGGCCAGGATGGGCTGCGGGGCTGGAGGGCGGGACCCCCTGGCAAAAGACAGGGTGCGCTCCCCACCGAGCGGCAGGCCGCCCCCCATGCCCTCCCGCCCCCCAGTCTCGGAGATCTGAGCGGCACCGACTGGGAGGTGAGTTAGTTCTCGTCCTTCCGAGCGGCAGAGGGGAGCGGGCGGACTGTGGAGGATGGGCGGGTGCAGGGAGAGGGGGAAGCGGAGGGCCGGGAGCGGGGAGGCAGGGGGAGTCTTAAAGGCAAGATGGAACTGAACGGTTTCGGGGGAGAGCCCTGAGCTCAGGGCTCGGCAGAAGGAGGGAGGGGAGACGGGGTCGACTCGGGACCCAAACTTGCTTCAGGCCCGGGCCCCGCAGACGGCTGGGGGTTGGGGGGGTCTGCTCTTTGGCCTCCACCATCATTCCACGCGGCTCCCGCCCCCCCCCCCACTGAAAACCCATTACTGCAGCTCCTTTGACTCTGGACATTTGGTGAAAGTAAAAAATAAGTTTTTGAGGCATGAATTGGACTGTAGGGTACTTCTGGAGGGAGTTCGGGAAGTCGGAGTGTGATGCGGTGTCTCCTCCCCTCCTCCCCGTCCCCTGGACCTCCAGCCTCTCTTTTGTCGCCTTTCTCATGCCGGGTCTCTGAGACCACGGAAGAAGACGCTGCAGCTTGAGGCCTGGAGGCTGGGCTTTAAGGAGAATTTCCCAAAATAACTGTTTGGGAATGGGTGGGTGAGCCTCCCGTGGCAAGGTGTCCTTTTCTGGGGTGCCTTGGAAACCAAACATCTGAACTGGTTTGTGAGGTAGAGTCCTGCCTGGAGGCAGGGAGCCAAGGAGTTGGTGGCCTCACAGAGGCCGCACTGTGAGGCCACGAGGGCCAGCTGTGCAGCCCAGCTCACTAAGCGGGTTCTTGGGAAGAGTGGGTTTGAGCACCGTGGAGAGGATGGGGGCCCTGGAGGGTCTCAGGAGGGGTTGGCACCCTGCCCGGCTCCCACTCCTGCTCAGCTCAGCTCAGCGGAAGGTCTAGGGGAGGGGAGCCTGCGAGGAGCCCCTGGAGGGCCTCAGCGTTGGGCAGGGGTTCCCCCTGGATGGGGGAGGTCACGTAACATTAACAAGCTTTATGGCTTGAGTGGGAGAGGGGGTGGAGAGGTGGGTTCTTGTCCCTGGTCCCTCTGCCCCAGGAACAGGGATTGGGGAACCTGTGCCCCTGGGGACTGGGGGCTCTCACGGGGAGGGGGGCTCCTACTCTGCGGCCCGGGTGATTGGTTTTCACCTTAAGAGAAATAGCAGCCAGCTCCATGGGACTTACTGTGAGCCAGGCGTTTTTGTCACCAGCTGGTCTGAGCCTTCCTGTCCCCACCGAAACAAGATTCCCCCTTGACACCCAGCCCTGAATTTGCCCTGCTTCCCCCTTCCTCTCTACTAAGCTAATTAAAGCAGGAGGTTAATGACCAAAGAAGCCTTGGGGATTTGGCCAGGGTGGAAAACAAAGGACAGAAACAAGTGTGTGTGAGTGGGGAGGGGGACAGCTGCTGAACGGGAAGGGGTAGATTAAGGAGCGGGGTAGGGGAGGCGGAGGTCCCTGCGGGGCCCACCTCACACAGCCAACAAAGACGAATCAGCCCCTTGGATGTGTTCATGCACCCCGCGTCCATCCTCGGGGTCCCGCTGAGGCTCCAGACCCATACCCGAGGCTGGGAGAGGCAGAAGTGAAGGCGTGTGGCTGGAGGACAGGCGATGGGGGTGTGAGCGCACGTGGACCTGTGGCACGGGGGCGCGCCTGCCTGTAGACTGTTTGGGGCATGTCCACCTAGGGTGGGGACAGCCAGGCTGCCAAGGCGGCAGAGGAGCCCAGGGGCGGGCTCCTAGGAGCCAGGTTCCCTGGGACAGTTCCATGAGCCCTTCTCCGGCTGTCCTGAAGGCTGATGTCCTCCTTTGTTCAGGGGGGTCCCCTCTTCCGCTGACACTTGTGTTGGCCAAGCTAGGTTTCTGTGCACCGGCCCTCCTCTTCCTCCTCCTGTCTGCAGGCCTGATCCAGAATTAAGGCCCAGGCCCTTCCTTGAGCCATTTTGCTTGGAAAGAGACGGTTATGCCCACCCTACTCCACCCCTCACCATCTGCCTTCTGGCCAGAAAGGTGTGTGGGCGGCAGATCCTTCCACTTCAGGGCCTTGGAGCACAAGCCTCTCTTTCCTCTTTGTCACCGTCCCCCACCCCACCCCCCGCCCTGGCCCCCCAGTGCCGGGTCCCCAGCACTGCCCAGGGCCGAAGCTCAGGGAGGGCGTGTTGACTAAACCGCACATTCGAGGCTTCCCGGGCGTCTGAGGCAGAACCAGGGGGCACACAGGCCACTCGCTTCTTCTGCCCCTTGGGCCATTATTTCTGGCTTAGCCTTGATTTCCTCATCTCTGAAATGGAAAAATAAGTCCCAGCACAGTGCTTGGCTCCTCCTGGGCCTTCGGTCGTTGTTAGTGCTCTTCAGCCCGTCTGCCCGCCCCTCGCGCGCCATTAGCAAGATTGCGGTCCTCGATGATTCATTCTCATCCATTCATTCTCCCAGCTAACTCGGGTGTGCCAGGCGCTGAAGGAGACTCCAACCCACCCTGGGCCCCTGGAGCCAGTTCTAGATCTGGCCTTGCAGGGAAGAGATGATCCTAAACCACCAGCACAGAATTCCAGAAATAATTGCCCTGAGTCCTGGAATGCCCGCAAACTCTGGGGCTCTGGTGCGCGAGAGCACGTGCAGGCCAGCCTCCCTAGCCTTGGGCCCGAGGAACAAAGGACCCCATGGAGTTGTTGCGCTGGCTGCCTATGCAGCGTGTGTCTGTGTGCAGGTGTGTCTGGGTGCACGCGTGGGTGTCCGCATGTCCACATGTGTAAACACAGAACCCAGGGCTCGTGTGGGGGCTGTGGGTCAGGAACCGGGTGAGTGATCCCGGCTGTGCTTGTCTGGGTGTGGAGCTGGGTCCCTTCTCTTTTCTGCGCCAACCTTTTAGAGTCACCTCTGCAAGCACCAAGGGATGGGGCACACATCTAGCACCTGCCCCTCCTGTGTGCTATTCTCAGAGCCCCTAGGGAGGGAGGGGACACAGGAGGCTGTCGTCAAGGCTGCCCCACAGAGCGGGTGGGCCCTAATGGAGGGCATCCTAGCGTCCCCCTCTCCGCTCCATGTATCCGAGGCGAGGATGGGGGGGCTCCTCTCCTATGTGTTACAGGGTCTCCCTTTCCTTGTCTGAATACCCCTCCCTGGGGGAAGTCCACCCTGCTATCAAACACCATGTCTCCCGCCGAGACGGCAGCCCGTTTGCTCTCGGTTGGTGGAACACGCAAGCTCATTAATTTCAATGAGGATGTATTAAGTAAAATTCTGTAGGACACACAAAAGAAAGATCAGGTTTGATCTCTGCCTGCAGTAAGCCACAGAAACTAGCCTACGTGACCCAGAGAATGTGGCCAAAGAAGATTAGGTGTGGGGGGCAAACGGTCTTTGGGACTCAGAGGGCTACAGAGGCAGAGGAGCAAGGAGGCCACTACAGGTCCTTCCGCTGTTCTGGACCGGTCTCCAAGGGCTCTGAAGCCCAGTCTGAGGTTTGGACCTGGACAGACGCCACTGCTCTTCCCCTGGGCCCACTCCAGCACCCCACCCCCAGCAGGTCTCCTGCTCTCTTATTTCCCTAGGGAGAGCGGCTCAGAGGGGCTGGGGGGAGCCAGGGTCTCCCAGGACAGCTGGCTGACAGGGCCTCTCCGGGACTCAGGGCTGGACCCCGGCGTCCGGGAGGCGGGTGATACTGGAGCTGTGACAGTTGGTCCCCAGATTCCTCACCCAGTGGCGCCAGCTCTGGTTTCGGACTGGGGAGGGGGAGGGGCACGTGGTGCCAGCCTGGGCTGGGTGCTCTCTTGGGGCAGGGAGGTGAAGGCCGTAAACATGCCCTTGCCGGGTCATCGAGAAGGGACTTTTCCAGCGCCCTCTCTGTGCCAGGTGCCGAGCTAGAAAC